GGATCAATTCACTTGAATTCCCCAGCTACAGCTTGAAATCAAGGTCCTAAAACCATCTACTATGTCAATTATTTGAAGAAACTATCCTGTACAATGAGATGTTGAATTACTGGGAAGGTTGCTCGCATAGCATCCATCATCTTATTTACAGGGAAGTGATCACTTGCGACCCAACCTCACCAAGTGCTGCTGATGTTTAGCGGCAGCTGCTTTATCTGCTGCTTCCCGTTTTAGCGCCCTTTTGGCACGTCTACCTGTTGTATCTTTCACAGCCTCTTTCTTCTTAGAACCATGTGATGGACCGGCACCATTGTCCTGGAAATTTTCTCGGTTCACTGGCCTTGCTTCTTTACGCCCTGCCCTAACATAGCCATTATCTCCCCACCTACGGTTACCTATTCGAATACTTGATGAACTAATAAAGTAACCTTCATCTAAATCATCATCTTCTTCGTCCTCGTACTCATATTCATACTGATACTCGTAAAGGTCATCAAATTCATCATAAACCTCTTCCTGAACCTCCACTGCCAGCGGTGTAAACCAGCTGGCTCTAAGAAGTAGGCAAACACTCTCCTCAAACATGTAGTCATGGATGCTGTCAAGAACAGGGACATTTTGGTCATCGGGACATAATTAGCTCTGTTCTAACTCCCTGTCTTATTCCCTACCAACGAAAGCAAGAAATGTTCTTATTACGGTTATACCTGCCATCAAGTGACCGGTGAACGTTGAGAGACTCGAATGGATGTTTACATTGAGGGCATGAGGGCGGGCATGTGGGCTTCTGATTGTATGTCGCCCATCTAAGAATGCAAGTCACACTATACAAACCAGGAAATGATGAAGAATTAGTGAATCCTCGTGTCATTTCACAACATGAACATGATTCACAAAATATTGAACAGCATAATTAAACATACAAACTGCAGGAAATAAAATTTGTGTTCATTCTACAGCACACAACACCATTTTATAATAATAACTAGCCACATATGGCATGCATGTTGAACATGAGAGGTTATAAGGTCGAAGGAAAAAGTTTTAGATGGAATTAATCTCCTCCCTTTATTTTTATTCAGAGTAATAGAAAATCCTTTTGTTCCATTCTGTTGATTCTGAAGATCTCCTTCCCTTAGGGCTAAGGCTGGCCTGCTTCAGAGGTCCAAACCAACCTTCCAATAGGGGAATCTTTAGGTTAACCATACACTTGTGTTTTACACTTATTTAAGTAAACAAGTTACCTTTTGAATTTCCATACATTTTTTTATTACCAAATAAATGTGATGCAATACCTTAGTAGTACTTGATACTGCATGGATAATTCTGAAACACATATTTTATGTCTGTCACTACACAAATACTTCTAAACATATATGCAGCCTGTTACATTGTCAACAATTATTTTGTAAACTCTACCAATTTCTTTATTTGTATCACTGTGTATTCTGATAAAATTTGCAAATCGTTTTCTTATATATGGAAAYGACACAGACATCAGGAAAATAACTCATCCTAGAAAACTAAGGTTGGCTAATGTATCATATTAGATTTGCTCTAAGAAAATTAATCTCCACACAACTATAGGCTTCCTGCATTTGAGGAAACAAAGTCATAACTCATATATGCAAAGCTTGATTTTATTTATACAGGGAATAAAACAACTGTCAGGCATAAGGAAATGAAAATCTCAGACCAGCAAGTTCAATGGATCTCGGGCCGATTATGTCCTGATGACCAAAATGTCCCTGCTCTTGACAGCAGCATCCATGACTACATGTTTGAGGAGAGTGTTTGCCTACTTCTTAGAGCCAGCTGGTTTACACCGCTGGCAGTGGAGGAGGTTCAGGAATAGGTTTATGATGAATGAGTATCAGTATGAATACGAGTACGAGGACGAAGAAGATGATGATTTGCATGAAGTTCTCTTTAATAGTTCATCAAGTATTCGTATAGGTAAACCGTAGGTGGGGAGATAATGGCTATGTTAGGGCAGGGCGTAAAGAAGCAAGGCCAGTGAGCCGAGAAAATTTCCAGGACAATGGCACTGGTCCATCACATGGTTGGTTCTAAGAAGAAAGAGTCTGTGAAAGATACAACAGGTAGACGTGCCAAAAGGTCGCTAAAACGGGAGGCAGCAGATAAAGCAGCTGCCGCTAAACATCAGCAGCACTTGGTGAGGTTGGGTCGCAAGTGATCACTTCCCTGTAAATAAGATGATGCATGCTATGCGAGCAACCTTCCCAGTAATTCAACATCTCATTGTACAGGATAGTTTCTTCAAATAATTGACATTGTAGGTGGTTTTATGACCTTGA